CGAGAGGTGACGAGAGCATGGGGGTGACGTAGACGCAGACACCCTGCTGCGAGTAACTGAGGTGTTACAAGTAACTGCTGAAGCCAGTTCCAGCTTAGGGCAAGGCTAAGCTCACTTGTCGCATTTTTTGAGCCGTAGGGCCAGCATATTTACCAACTCTATCCTAATCGCTAAGGGGAATTGTTCGAATATCATCATGATTTGAGAAACATTATGTAAAGTTTTTGACTTACAGGTAGAGCTTTCGAAAAGCACATTGGCGAGTACGTCGATGACAGCTGGACCTGTAATCTTATTACCTGCGCATTCAGCGGATTTGTATGCGCCCTAGGTAAGTGCACATTACCTCAGTGAGATTAGCATATAATCATTTCATAGAGTCATTCAAAAAAGGAATGAAAGTGCATCGCTAAGTCGATGTTGTGTGCAACTTGTCGTTTGCGCCCATGATTGAGCCCCGTTCGAATGTGACGCGCGGCTAGCGGCAAAAATGGCGCGGTGGCCCATTGTGATCCGCGATGCGCATATTTTCAGAAGGTGGTGTTTGGGTTAAATGTCGTGGAGGGTTAGCAATGCGATGACCGATTTTTTGTCGTAAAACATTCGGAGAGCTTGATGCTATTCTGTACAGGTTGCTGCAATGTTACGGTATTTGATCGAACAAAGAAGATCCATTGTAACAACCTGTACTGCAGAACATCAGGCAATGTTTCCAACATGCCCAGGTTTCAAGAAGACAGATGGGAAATTGCTGATCTTGCCACAGATTTTGATAGGTTAGCAATGGAGGTTTTCAGCTCTTCGCGAGCATATTTGCCCTATCCCACACATACCATCTGCTTCCGAAAAGTAGACGCGTGCCGAGTGCGGACCACACACCAGAAGTGACGACGGCCTCTACAAAATGTAAATTTTTTTCTGCCAATGAAATGATTAGCCAGTTGCAGTCTACTCTAGCAAACGTCACAAGGGGTCTATTCCATTTAGGGGGCATCATGATGCAGTTTTTCCAGAAACTTGCGTAATTCCTAGCCAGGGGGAGTGTAACCAGTCTACGGGGGGGGAGGGCAGTCACTTGACATGAGTGGGAAGCTGGAATGTTTCAAGTCATCATTAGTTCGGCCGAGAACTGCATCATAGTGGGTCCGCGCACTTGCCTAAGTAAGATATATGGACCCGGTCCACTTAATTCAACTTTGTATCATTTATCGCAACCTATTACTAATCACTTGAGCCACTAATCACTAATATATATTTTGGAGGTCGTCGCACTAATTGGTTGCGTTGTTGCACCCGACCCCCACCCAGGGTCAACCGTCCGTTGGACAAAGTCCAACGCGACGACGAGAGTAATGCCGAGAGTGAACGTACGCACGGAGACACAGACGGCTCGCGGGTGGCGAGAGTGAATGCCGGCGCGGAGAGCGGTGAACATCGGTCCAACGTCGCTCCAATATCGGTCCAACGTAACGGTTGACCCTGCCCACCTGTTTCGGAAGGTGTAACACTTCTCGTACATAATGTTCTCTCAAAAAATAGATAGTACATATCCGTGATCCCAAGACCGTGGCGCCGCTGAAGGCGCGCACGGTCCTGGGATTAAGTCCCGTTTTGCTCAGCGTTCAGGTCAAACAAGCCTTCCATCCTTCGGCGCTCGCGTAACTGGCATGACTTCTGAAAGGATGAAAACATTGACTCGTATATCAGCTAACACCTGCAAGTTATTGTTCGGGTTGAACTATATCCAATTGCCATTACATTCTAATTGGAGAAAGGATGGCTGGCGCAGCCGAGAAGGGATTGATCAATGTCAGATGCTTCATATTTTATTCTTTGAATGTGTAGTGATTTCTTCTTTTCCACTTTCTAAATTATAATCATTTTCAGGCATAAATTACACAGGAATGTACGCAAACCCTCTGGTTGCTTGGGCTTGTACGTTCAATTGTGAGGGCTTAACGCATGCTGGCCACTTACTCGTCTACTGGCTTAGCCCTCTTATAGGATGGTGAGCTCCAACATATCAGTTTATTACTTGCTTATTTATTTTTTCATTTCACTAGGAAAACTGTAGGTGTGAAGAGGATCGCCAGTGAAAAAAAACAAAGGAATCCACCTGAGCCCTATATTAAGACTACATTTTTGTGAGGGAGAAAGAGCTACCACAGGAGGACAATGGGAGCCAAGGAGAGCGAAGACGCGAAAGGCCATAGCTGCGAGCGAGACGTGGACACTCTTCTGTAGCCCCTTCCAGAACAAATTACAGGCCCAATTTCACCGTCGCGCGCTTTCGAGCCGAGGGAACGGCACAGCTCTATCCGACTTACGGAACGGCTTAATTTTGTCTCGCTTAATCGTAAAATATGCCTTGAGATAAGACAAACCAGGAAAAAGCATAAACAACATTAGCAGCTAGCATTTCTGGCTTGTTTTTGTTTGCTAACATAACATCAAAAGCCCATTCGGTGCGGTGAGATGATTCTCCGTAGGGTAAGTGGCATCACAATTGTCCGGTGAGCGGGAGAGGTTCGAATCCTGTTTCTGGCGAAGAGTTTAGCCCTCTACTCAGCATTCTTTTTTTCGTTTTATCGAGGCACACCCCACGATTTGCTATACGAAGTTATCCCCGAATTAAAGGAGGAATTCACGATTAGAATGAAAGTCGAAGAAGAAGTAACTGACCTAGTTGAGAGACCGGCGGACCTCCTGAGGGTGCGGACTGACGCGCAATTGGCAGCGAAAGATTTGACCTCGGCGATCTAGCATGGCTCACTCTTGGCGCGGTCGGCGGGTACGCCCACCGACTATCTAATCACTCGCCGCAGGTCTATACGTGCGAGTGATTAGATAGCAGAGGGAGAGCGTAATGTTAAAGAGGGCACATGAGAGCGATGAGAGTCGCGTCAATGCGCATATCAAGGGGTAAGGAAGGGGTGTTCCCATTTCTGGGGTTTCAGGCCGTTTCAAATGGTTTCTTCTTCATCTCTGCTCCGCTGAACACCTCTACCCTATTTTTCTGCCTTTGACGAAATAATTCTTTTCTGAGAACAGATTATATCTCATTTTTCTGGTCCCTTCTCGTATTTACATCATAACCTTTGAAGCTCGCCTATTAAAACCACTGAGCGTTTTCTGTTGGCAAGGTTTTCAGAGTTTATTGTTTTTTTTTTTCTTTTCTCAGGTACCTGGCTGAGGTTGGCCTTTCGAGAACGACGTTGAAGACCGAGTAGTGAGAGAAAAGAAGGAATAAAGGAGACGATCACTGGAAACACTACATAGGAGATGCTAACACGGCGTATTTAGATGGTAGGCAAAGGTTGCCGTTAGGAAATACTGGAAGATCTCTATCGCCGGACAGAATTTCACGTTTATTAATTTCTGTCAGAGTGAAATGTTTGGAGCTTGTTTTACGCCTTGGTTTGTTCGACCAACTTGGTGCGTTGTGATAAATATTTTCCGGATTTTGCTATTTTTTATTTTGTATCACATCTCGCTGGTGAACTTTGACCGTTTTTCTGTCTTCATTGTATTCGGGTCAACCGTCGCGTTCGCACTTTTCCAAAATTCTGCGTTCCATTTCCGTAGGAGGTCTCGGTGCGACCCCTCTCCATCACCATCAGTTTCAGATGGCTCCCCCAATACGACACCCCTCCTCCCTAACCCGATCGCCACTCTAAATTATATAAATTGGTATCATGGAGCGGCAAATCCACCAATTTCTATTATAGTTTATCCTACTTTTGTGAAACTTTCGCCACCTCGTCGGAAATCTGTCAAATACAATTCCCTTTTTGCGACCTTGCTCAACCACCTTCCTATACTCACAAATGCGACCTCCGAATAGGGCGAACGGACAGTTGACCCGGTTACCAACGCCGTCAAGCCTGCATCACTTTGGAGTGGAGTTCACAAGGACGGTTGTGCTGGGAAACCAATTTACCACGCATGCATCGTTGCTGGTTGTTTATCTCCATTCCCGTCTGCAATTCTGATTTCTTACCGCACGACGGGCGTCCTGCCGGGTACCCCCGACTATGGTGGATTGGCGGGCGAGCGTTGATGTCATACACCTTTTGCGACTCGAAGGTGTACACAATCTCAAAAAGAGTGAATAACGATTGAGGATTTTTCGACCATGGCTCTGTACTGTGTGAGAATAGTGTCGAGAGTGAATGTACGCGCGGAGAGCACAGACGGCTCGCGCATGGCGAGAGTGAATGTCCGCGCGGGAGAGCGTGACTGAACAGGCGAAAATCCTCGACGAGTTGTCGACAAATCCTCGACCAGTTTTCCCTACTCTCAAAGCTCTCTCAAACGCAATGCACGCCTCTTCTGCGAGCCCCGTCTTCCGCTGTCCAACGCAACGTTGGTGCTGTCAGAGGAGTGCGGCCGCGATTCTGGTAGCGCCAGCATGGCGTTGCATTTGATGTCGCCATCGTCGCGCCACTGCAATTCTCTTGATCTACGGAGAAGGGAAAATCTGGTAATAAAACGTTTACATGATCAAACGATACAATTCTATAATATAATACATAGGCATAAATCAGCGTTGTTCTTCGAAATAAACGAATAGTACAACTAAAGAAAAAATGAGATCCTTAAAGGCAAACCCCGGGATTAGCCCGACTAGTAGGAGGGATACCACGAGGGAAATTGTAAGGTCCGTACCTACCTAGATCACTCCAGCTTCGTCGCAAAATTGCGCGGTTAGGGCGCTAATCCTTACGGGCCTGCAACCATCGACCCCTTGCAACGCTTCCCACCCACCGCGAGATTGATGTAGAGATCAGCGTGCTCTCTCAAACGACGTGCTCTCTCGCGTATTTTGTCTTCTTTGATCGCCCTGTCTCGCCATCGTACCACATCCGACCTTACTGAAGAAGGTTAAGGCCTTAGTTTTTCAGCGTTCTCAAAGACTTCTCTTGCTTTCCTTCCACTTTCAGGTCGTTCCGCAGCTAAGCTATCACCACAGAAGCGCTAATAGCACCAGTTTAATCCGGGGTTTGCCTTTAAACGGGTGGCGTACCATACTCATGACAATCGAATCACAGTTGGGAAAACAAAGCGCTACACTTCATTCGGAACAAAAAGGATAACACGACAAATGACTCTTTAAATTACTTCCAGCGCCATAATTCAACAGCGGGCTTCATAGGATCGTGAATACACAATTTTGCAGAAATCCGAGAAATAAAAACGGTAAAACGTGAGATGCGTGATTGTCGTATAACTTCGTATAATGTATGCTCGCAGTGGATGTACAGATGATGGAGATTTTCATCTTGCCAACTTCCTGAGATGGTGCGTTGAAATGACCGATGGTGAGTGCCGTCCTTGGTGGCTCGGCCCACCTCCATCTCCTTCACCAATGTCAGTTCAGGGTACTCGACAAGAGGCCCGTCGCGCGGCAAGAAGGCGGAGATGCAGACGGATCAGTGGACGAGTTGTAAACTGTGCAATGTGGGACGTATTATAGCATATTTTGTTTGAATTGACGCTAATTTCGCAACAGGCATGGCGCTGCCGACCCCTCCGTCCACCTATCTGCGTCTCTGCCTTCGTGACAGGCTATTTCCGAGTTGCCGCCTAGTCATTGCCTCCCCCTCTCTGCCATCGCACTCGGTGTCCATTTAAAATCCAATTGACCTCACGGGGTGAATATCCGAACGCTAACACTACTGCTCGCAAAAGGCCTTTCAACTCTACATATCGCGACAAGATTTGGAACAATGAAACTCGAACAACCCTATTCCACAAAGAAACAAACTGGTAAAGTCTTTCGTCAGTACTGCAGCTCTTTCGCAACCCACAATAGGCTTGTCGCGCGCCCTGCCCACTTAGGGGTGAGACGGGGCACTCAAACAGTCATTGAAACTAAACCGCTGCTAGAGTAATAACGGCTAAGCTCAGGAAAGGGACAAATGCCTGCAGAAAAAGACTATGCTACAAGCTTATCCGCCAGAAGCGCTTACAATTTCTAAGGCTACAGTCCCCCCCCAAAGTTCGTAAGGCACCTCTTAAGTGACTCGACTTTCAATGTCCTCCCCCTAAAAACATGAAGGAGAGAATTGTTACTTACTGCATAAAACAACTAGCTAATCCAGTGGCGGACGCCTTATATTCACCTTAGGGGCACTTTCTGAGGTCGTAGCATAAAAGTTTACGGTGATGCAAAAATCGGAACAAACATGCAATATTTTGTTTTGTGCTTTGTATATATAGTATGTATATGCAATGGCAAATAATAGGCTGTCATAGCGTAGAGCTCCAAAATAGCTCCTCTTTTTCTTAAAAATCGTATTTTACTGTGACTAAAGATCCTTAAACAACGTCAGATTAACAAATGTTGGATTGTGATATACGCAATAATGAGGAGATAAACGTGTGAAATTCTCAGAAACAGTAGAATGATTGCTTCCCATTAGGCTCGTAAAAAGGTTGTTCTGCAGGTGGCGAATTTTCACCTTGACCACAATTACCGTAATGTCGTGACACCTGAATTGATCCGGAGGTTTAGTCGGATTCCTCGAGCCAACTTACACTTATTGCATCGTAGTCACGTACGGCAATCGTCTTGTTCTGCTGTAATTCCCAATCGAGTGGAGAGTTCTGATAGAAATGTCTTTGACCCAAATCATGTGCCTGAAATAAGTAGGATAAGCGATGGAATTTTGTGACCCAAGTCTTCCAGTTCTGCATTTGAACATCGGCTCAGTACGTTTCATAATGCTTGCGGCTTCATAGGCGGATTTATGATGAAAAGGCAGCCCATTGGAAATTAAGTTAGAGATGGTCAGTGATGCACGAAAGAAGAAAAACCGAGAAAAATGGCCTAGAACCCGAGAAATGGGACCCCTTCCTTGCCCGTTGATTTGCGCATTGATGCGACTCTCATCGGTGCTGCCCTCTTCAACGCTAACGCTCTCTCTGCTGAACGGCTAGAGACTCAGACACGAGACGACGCGAGAGGGGGCGTACCGCCAATAGCGCGCCAATTGGGCCGCGGGAAAGGCCATGCTAGATCGCCGGGCATATCCTTCGATGCGAATTGCGTGTCGGTCCGCACCCTTAGGAGGTCCGCCTGTCTCTCCACTAGGTAAGTTTCCCCTTTTTCGACCTTCGTCCTTATCGTGGGAATCCTCATCTAAAAAGAAGGGGTGGTGCGGTAGTTCATGCCGCTCACAGTAATCTCAGCTTTGTGAGTAGAAGAACCTCCGGGATGGGTGTAAAACGGAAGTGA